ATGGGACTCTAAAAAGCAGACAGAGCTTAATCTGAAAAGTCACTTCTGTTAATCAGTTCTATTCCAATGAATGGTGACTTCAATCAGTTCTATTTTCCAATGAATGGTGATTTATTAAAGAACCTTCAGGACTGGTTTATACTCAGGAGATTGAGTTCCTTAAGGAATGTCTTTGGGATGAGTTGAGGTGCAGAGTATTCACTCATATATGTTCTTTAATTAACTGGGAGGACATACCTGAAAAATTTGGAATATAAATTCAATAAACCCATAATATTTTCCTCAAGATCTGTTTCCTCCATTAACACAAATACCAATTTTTTTCTGGAATAACCTGGGATTTTGTATTTGAACTCCTCAGCATTTCAAGGAACAAAAGGATAACTCTACCTCTGACAACTGAGGGTTTTCTCTGAAAATAGTTCACTTTGAAAAACTGTAATGTTTTAATGAAAATACAGTACAGGCAGGAACTGAAACAGTTAATCCTGAAAGTACTTGCATAGTTTTTCAGAAATTCCCAATCCACAAACCAGCCACAGGAAGGTTTCCTGTGAAAATCCTCAGGAACCGACCAAAATGTCGAAAATTGCATAAAAGAAAAAAAAAAATTAAATATCAAGTGATTCAAACCCACTTGATTAAGGGATGAAAGTTTAAACAGTGAAGCTGATCCTCACGTCCCACTCAGACTCATTTCACTAATCACCCTCCATTTTAAAGTCAATGGAAGTGCAATCAACACCTTTAAGGAGACAATCAGTTCTCATCCAGCCCAGCCAACTGCTGGCTCAGGATTCCTTCCTTCCAGTGACACACCTGTATGGTGAGGAAACCTGACCCACCTCACAGTCCCAGGACTGGATGGAGCATTTCTGGAGGTCAAAAAATGCAATTTCTATCCCTCTCTGGGTTAGCCAGGAAGGATTTGGTGGGTACTTCCCACAGCAGAGATGCTCCATTGCTCTGCCAGGCACCAGTGGGAGGACAGGGCAGGAAGAACCAGCATCTCCCACAGGAGAGTTCCACAAGAAACCAGCTGAAGAAAACTCTGGGAACACTTCAACAGCCAAGGAATGGAGCTTTTCCAGCTAGATGTTCCCAGAGCCCTACACTCATCCTGGACAGACACAACTTCCAGCTGTACAGGTACAACTGGAACTCCAAAAACACAACAAGGCTCTGCTGGTTCCTGGGGGGGCAGGACAAGGAAAGTCTTCCCTTAAAAGCAGAGAGAAATTGCTACTTCGGCCCTGAACTCACAACCAGACCAGCAGGGAGGGTTTGGAGGTGTTACAACAGCCACAGTCAGGATATTGGGGTTGAATTAAAGCAGAGCAATACTCACTACAAACAGACAAGTCATTGCCACAAAAACCTCAGTGCTACAAACGTTCGAGCCAAGATTTTGCCTTTTTGCCAGAAAGGCAACAGAATCTGGGACACTTCAGGGCTTACAGTACAAGGATTCCATCAAATCTCCTCCCCTTGAGCCAAGCAGAGCGTTTGATCCCAGAGGAAAGGGCCCTGCAGTTCTGTGCTCACTGAAGCTTTTCCACACCAACCCTTTCCCTCCCTTTTCCCAGATCCCAAAGCATCTGCTTTGGCCTTGGCAGACACAGTTCCTCCCTTTTCCCCACCCTACAGCTCGGGGGGATTGGAGAAAGCAAAGATGTTGCCCTCTCTCTCCTGCTGGAACCACCAATGACAGTGCTGTGGAGGAACACTTCACATCCAAGTGTTTGAACATCACGACCAAAGCAGGCAACTGACTTCAAATCCTGATGTTCCAGACCAGCAAAGGGTAAAACCGACTCACTAGTCCCTCTCTCCAGTGGCCATTCAAGGCACACTGCTCATCTAGGCACAGAGATTGGATGAAATCAATGCATGAACCCTTCTCTCTGGTTTGCCCTGGTGCTGGCAGCTCTTGGGCAACACTGCACACTCATCTGTGAAGCACATAACTGGAGGAGGATCCTCCCTCAGAGTGAGCTGGGTCCTGCCTGGGCAGGGCCTGGAGACCTTTGGGAAGGAGTGCAAGGAGTGGACGCAGCCCAGGAGCAGAAGCAGGCACTGCAGCATGGCCTCCTCCACTGCCAGGGACTGCAAGAGAGAAATGCTCACTGTCAGAGGCACCCACAGCACGACTGTGCCCCTCACACTCACACGGGACTGGCACACTGCACAGCACACACACACACAGCACCCACAGCTTCTCACACACACCCACACTGCACAGCACCCACACACACACACACACACA